ACCTATCGAAACGCTCTTCTCGATGAGACGAACACGCTCACCAAATTTGAGCACGATCTGACTCGGATCAAGTGAGATATAGGCCCCAAAAGTCACTGATCGTGACTGTGAAAATAACCACCTTTAATGGTGTTTTAGTGTTGGGTCGCCACTCGGGAATAGTGTGCGGCCTACCCCTTTTCGGTATTTTACCCTTAACTTTGTCCTGGAGTGCCCAATTAAGTCGAAACTTGACCCATAGGGGTTTTCGACCATGTCGAATCTAATGGCGGTGGTCTCATAGCTATTTGACATACCAAAAATATAGTTCTCGTTACAGGATCCATTTCAAGGTGCTAGAGGCCAATATTTCCGAAATTGTTTCTTTGTGTTCACTGCCTTAGACATATTTGATCGCGATAAAACTTGGCAGGTGGGCTTTTAGAGTGTTGATGAAGATCTTAACCAATTCTGGGGCCATTCTGAAACTGTCAAAATTTCCACTGATTTTGTAGGCTTTATTAACCTACTTCCTCTTTATTCCGCATCAAGGACCAAGGTGCTGAAAAATATGTTCAAAGAACTGCGCGTGAACTCGAAGTAGTGTCGTTTGAGCATTGCCATGCATGTGAGACGCAATGCTGCATGTGGAGGACTAATGCCGCGCGTGAACTTCATGTAGTGTCGTTTGTACATCGCTGCATGTTAAACAAGGGAGTAACACCATGTGTGAGTTGGATCAACACCGCACATGTAAGGAGGTACAGCTGCACATAAGGGTAACACTGCGTGTGAATGGGAGCAACGCCACGTGCCTATGTGACTATCGCCTCCTGTGAAGGTAGAGAATGAGCAATGACGTGCATGAAAGAGAGTAGCGTCGTGAGTGCTTTGGTCCAACCGTATGATCATCGAACATGTCAGCACCACACCGTACCTGTCAGCGCCGTGCATGGCAGCGTCAGCCACAATGTTTTTCAACCACCATGGATACTTAAGCCCTCTCCCCTCCCCTTTTGTAATGTTGTTTCTCCATTTGCCTCTCTCTCTCTCTCTCTCTCTC